AGGACAGCGCCGGGGCCCTGGAAAACCCGGGGCAACCGGTCTTTCTATTACGTCACGCCTGTGGCAGAAAACTGCGACGCGGAACAGTTCAGAGAATGGCTGTCTAAGTTAGACCAAGTCGCTGAAAATCATTTCCAATCCACGAGGTAATGCCCGGTCCACTTCGTGCATCATCTCCACAACCGATTACGGAAGAAAATCTGGCCCGATGGTAACGCACCGCCACCCATACGCCTTCACGAGGGTGGGCCACTAACACCGAGCAGATGATGGTGGAGCGGAATACGGCCGTGACCGTCCCGAGTTGCTGCTACGCAACTGATGAGGCGCTGGTGAGGAATTGCCGGTACATTGTGTCTCCATGGCCATGCACACCGGCAATATGACGGTCGATGAAGCGACCAGGATTTTTGTTGAGAACGCCTATATGGGTGAGCACCCGGCCCGGCGCGAAGCTCTGAGAGGAACCTTCGACCCTGGCTACCTGAACTACACGCTGGGCAAACTGATGATTCTGAAGCTGCGGGAAGACTACCGGCAAATGCAGGGTGACCGCTACTCCACGAAGGAACTTCCACGAATCAGATTGACTATTCCTATGAGCTCCAGCATTGCATTCTGAGGGACCGCAATGCGGAGAAATGAGGGGGAACGCCGCTCTAGCTCTTCGCTAACGCGGCGACGCACACACATAATACGCCCCCTGGCCCGGGCTTCCGCACATCAGACGCGGGAAGTTGATCCTTCGGAAGGCTTCTCCGAAGCTTTCGCCTGTATCACCGGTGCGTTCTTGGCCATTTCGACGAACAAACTCGTCGATTTGCCATATGTGACCCGACCAGGCAACCGGCTTCCCGCCCGCCTGATCGCTCTAGTCTTTGAATCCAGTGAGGAATCGATTCCGACGTAGGCATTTGGCGTCACGGTTCCCCAGAACAGCACAATTCCGGTCTTGTGTGGCTCGAGGCCCTCGTCCCGCCAGAGTTCCTCGAAATGCAGGTGGTCGCGAGCGCATGGAAAGACCGCGTCGAGGGTAACCTGCCCGGTGATTCGGTGGTCCCGGTGCCACGCCAGGTTCTTTCGATATGGCTCCGGGCAGATCACCACATCGGGCCGGACCTGTCGAATCTGTCGAACGAGTTCCCTTCGTAAATCGTCGGTGTCCTCAAGGGTTCCGTCAGTCCCGTCCCGTGAGAACCAATTAGGCAAACCAAGTTCCTTTAGCAGCTCGGCCTGCTCACGTTCCCGCCTGGAGGCCAACTCCGAACCGGATACTGCTGGGTCGGTCGTGCCCTTGCCACCGTCTGTGCAGACTACGTAGCGAACTACCGCTCCCTCGTTTATCCAGCGTGCGATAGTACCGGCGCACCAGAATTCAGAGTCGTTGGGGTGCGGTACCACGACCAATACCCGCTGTGGTGTTTCCTGCATAGTTAGCACCTCCCCAGAATGAAGGCGCGGTCCAAATGTAAGTCTATCAACGGTTAACCAAACCGAGAACGCAAAAGAAGTCCGCTGGGTAGGGCCGGACCCACCCAGCGGACCGTAAAGTCCCCGTTTTCGACCTTCGTGTTGAGGTGCCAGGATAACTGGAGCCTTATAGTAGCCTTGAAATCTCAACTCTCTGCTACAGCCATAGTCTACTGTCAAAAGTCTCCGTTTCCCTCACAAGGCCAAATCATCTGGCCCCAAAAAGTCCCAGCATATTGCGAAACACAGGCATACTTTCGAAAGCCGTTTAGCCCTGCGGCACCGGCCCTGTGGCCGACTCTGACGCCTGCGGGACAAGAACTTTGCATTCCGGCCCTTTTCCGTCCCGCCACCAGTGGCTATAGCTAATTCAATCTATCCCTGATGTACGGTCAAGGCGCGGCCAGGGTGCCCTGCGTAAAACCCAGAACTATGTTAAATCTCGCGACTATAGCCTGGAAACGGTATTGCTGGCAAACCCATCTATCGCGCCGGCACAGTACTCAGATAGAATACGCGGTTACGCTTTTCCCAGTGTTCTTACGCACTGATACTACATGTCACCGCTTTCTGTGGAACGGGCCACGAATCCGGAGCGCTTTGAAAACTTTCTCGGAAAAGGTCCCACCGGATTTATGACAAACCGACATCGCTCATCAACCGAATAATCCAGTCGAGTCACTTGGCTGGACGGCACAATCACCAAGTACCCGGACGAGGGAATAGGAGTGGTGGGAACAAAGACGGCCAGCACTTCTTGTCCTTCAGCATCGAACATCTGAGAAGTTACCAACCCAATGGAGCGTATGCCCGGCCTTGGGAATTCTATCAGCACCGCGCCGCTGTACCGCTCGGTGGCGTCAGTACCGTTGGTGCCATTAGTGCCGTTAGTGCTGGTAAGGCGGTTGCTGTTTGAAATCAACTCGACGGCGGTCCGGGTGGTACTGTAGATCCCCTTTACGACAGGAATCACCTCCATGGCCCTGTGAGCCAGACCAATTAGCCGGCGGCCAACAACAAAGGCGGCCACCAGCCCAACCACGTATATCACGATCAGAAGAGCGACCAGTCCTGTGCCATACAAGTCAGGACCAGGCAGCAAGTCGGTAAGAGGCTGAAGTATCGGGGTTAGTAGGTCGAAGATGAACTTCAACACAAGGGCGGTGATAGCAATTGGAAGCATCACCAGGAAACCTGCAACCAAGGTGCGTTGAAAGTGACGGGCGATTCGTCTCACTAGAGTCTTCCGCGCGCTGACCTATCCGTTGGGTAGTTCAGATGGATTGTGGTTGCTGCGTGGAGAGTTCACAGTCTCAACGGGCTGACCGAACAAGCAGCTCCATATCATCCACAGGGAAGAATGGGAACGCGCGCGAATGGCGGCGCGACTGTGCGGCTAAATCAAAAGGGCCAGGAAAGAATAGTTCATTTAGCGTCCGGAATACATTACCGGCGGTACTTAGCGCGCGTATTCATCGTCTTTCTTTCTTCTTTGAAAATCATGGGAGCGACGTGGGCCAGCTCATCATTTCAGCCCGGCGCTCGCCGCAGTCCAAGCTTTCCTGAAGACGCTCGCTCGAGATATCATCTCGACGGAGTGAGGTGGCAAACAAAAGCCTCTGGGGCATCGCCAAGGACTGAGATAGCCGTGTGGCCGTGATGTGTTGCACCAGGGTGGGCAGACCTCCACCCGTCGTGCCACCACCGTGTCCGCAAGCATCGACTTCGCGTGCAACAAGCCCAAAGCTTTCGTAGTAGGAAGGCCACCACGCAGACATCGGCGGCATATGTAGTAAAGGGGTAGTCATCGTGGTCGACCGCCGGCCCACGAATTCAAATCCAAGTCGTCCACATGGCGTTCTCGGCGAGACGTCGGACTCGGTCGGTCATCGGGTTCTCCGGGGCCAGCCTCCGCCCACTACCATTCATCGTACGTTTCCCCTTCTGCCTCCAGCTGCGCCGCGCGGTCTCCACCAGAAAGGTCTAGCCCCTTCAAGCTCCACTCGGCCGACGTAGAGAGAGAAGGAGTTTTCTCGTTCAGCCCCAAGGCTGCGCCGGACTTCTTATGGTCCATGGGGCGGGAATTTGTGTCAGATCGACCCGCAGGGCGCCAGCATCACCCCGTGCCGTGAGGGGTCAGCGCGTCGTAAAGCCTGGCTCTAATTGCATCTCTTTCGTGGCCACTGAAGGCGATTATGCGATCGGCATCAGCATCGCTACCCGTTCCACCTCCCCACGCTCAGCAGGCTCTACTTCCCGGCGCGAGATGCATCTTGATCAGGCAAGGGTTGGTGGTGGAATGTAACCAGTGCGGAATGACCCAATACATGGCCAAGCGTTGCCCCACCCAAGACGAAAGCCAGGTAATGAGACATGAACTATGTCATACTCCAGGCGTTCTGCTCGCGGAAAGCCATGCACACTTCTTCCAAAAAAACGGGGTAGATGAACGAAAAAGCTTCAGCCACCCCGCCTCATTGGGTTCCACCCGGTAGGTGGATGCACCTCACATGGGGCGATCACGATACTTTTCCTGAACTCCCTCATGCTCTCTGGTGACGATGTCACCGGAAGACGGGAGTCTCCAGGGCCCTGGAAAGTTCCCGGGGACATACACGTTAATTCCCCCCCGACTTGCCTTGTTCCAGGCGCCGCCGAGGGGAGGCGTTGGAACGAAATTAAACGCTGCTCGCTCGGACAAAGCTAGCTTTCAACACCATTCTGTAAAAGGACTCTTCTGCTGACCGCCAAGATTGTCGCCTTGTATGGCTCGGCCCTCTCAGAAAGTCGAAATACGCAATCCCTGTTCTATGGCGTCTCTCAGCACATGGCGTGGAGCAACAGCCCACCACGCTGTAATAGGAATGTCCGGATCATATTCCGCTTCTTGTACAACAGGGCGTTCCTGGGCCATAGTCGAAGCACAAAAGCTGGCTGCGGCCGTCGAATCGAGCCATCATTTCCATAATGTGGATACAGGCGGATGCGGTTCCAACTACACGCCATCCGACGCTGCGAGGGGGGAGGAGCGCGCGGAAAAGAAAAAAAAATGTTTCGCGCCGGAGTCATGAAACTCCTTATTTGTCGGGCGGCTCATCCGCCATCAAAGCCAGGAACGTATCGAAGTTTTCCATCACTGCGTCGGGGTTCGTATGGCGACCAGCGCCATTCGGTCTGCGTTGTCCAGGACCGGCAGCAGTTTTCCGGGCAGCGGCAGCTCGTGCCTTGTCTTTCTTGGAAAGCAGCGCCAGATACTGGTCCCAGTCGGCTGGCAAAGGAAAGGCCCGAGGTACGTCCTCGTATTCCACTTCCACCGGGTAGCCTCTCGCACGGGCCAGGTCGGGAGGGAAGCGTGAATCAGAGTCGGGGAATGCTCTATCAGGGAATCAAGTCTGAGTGCGCTCCAATCCCAGCCCTCCACTATATACAGCCCGCGCGGGGTAGAAGGCCTCTTCAAACCCGGGGCGTATAGGAAGTCGTTATGTCAACTGTGTCCGGGGAAGCCAACGAATCCCAGCGAACACAAAAAGAGCTAAGGATGGAATGCAATGCCGCCTATAGCGCCGTCAGGGGAAAAGACAGCCGTAAAACCCGGTCATTTTCCCGCTGGCCACCGAAATTGTTCCACCAGACCTCCTCCACTGCGGAGGAAGGAGAAAGAAAGGAATAGGGCAGGAAATTGGCGACTCTGATGAGGAGGAGAGTCCCATCCGTCCCAGCGTCCCGGAAGGGGACGTAAAGGCATCCGCCGGGGTGCCGTCAACTGTTGGCATTAAAGTTTTAGTAAGTATCTCTGTCCTCATTGATGGCCGACGTTCTCGACGGCATGGTAAGCATCTTAGTACCCGGTTTGCTGATGCCGCGCCATGGACATGCAGAGGTGCTCCGCCCTCCAAACTATAGCAAATGACCACACCGAGGCGGAAGGACGGTTCCTGCCACGGCGTCCGCTACATCTGCGGTGAGCCTTTCTGAAACACTGGCGGCCGGGCCCCCCGCAATCTCAAGAAGCGCGGCTCCCAATTTGCTGATTCCCGCATCTTCCCTTGCGGGAAGGATACTATTCCTGGCCTGCACGAAAAAGGGTAGCAGGTGATGTCGCAAATAGAGTACGAAGGAAGGGGAGTTGAGAGATGGCTACCGGATCCATCGGCATCCGTCTCGAATATCGCATCTCCTGGGCCGTCCTCAACTCGGGACCCAACCCCTGAGAAAAGTTCCTCCTGGAATGCGAGCCCACGCGGCCGCGGCAGTATCTCCAGGCCCTCCCCGTTTCGGGTCCTCGCCGATGGCCCTCCAGAATAGTGGCCCAACAGCCTGCTGATGCGGTTGTCTCGAACCGTGATAAGCTCCTTCAGCGGGCTTGAAGTTTGGCGGTAGGCCGGGGTCGGGATCAGGAGGAAAGCGCGACGCCTCCACAGCCTTCAAGGTCGGCCGGACGACCCACCGACCGGCAGCGGGAAGTAACGCTGGGGAAACGGCACAGATCGGGGTCCTTGAGTCCTGAGCCGGTAAATATGGAGACTACTCGCTTCTCCGAAAGGCAGCCTTGCTTTGTGCAGCTTGACAGTCGGCAAAACCGGACGCCGAGGATGCAGGATAGAAGACAAGAGGGGGGGAAAATACCCTAGTGGGTGGAAGCCAGAGCCGGTTACGCCTCCAGTATTTCATTGCGGCACCATGTCAAATGGGCCGGCCGAGCTGTCGCGTGATCCAGGGTCTAACTTCCAGCTGGCCGTGCCCGATGCGAATCGCTAGCGATGGTCTCGATTGGCTACACGGCTCACCACGGACGATCGGAGCCGTGCGCCTTCCGCGGGAATCCATCATTTTGGGCCGGGTTGTGCGGCGCCCAAATTCATGGTATTCCGGAACTCCAGTAGGCGGTTGTTGCCGCGTTGCCACTGGAATGAAAAGGTGTCAGCGCGTCTCGAGTATCCACGATCTCGAAGGCAGCTGCTTCTGTCTGGCCCTCCAGGCGATAGGGATTCACCGACGTTTACCAGCGTTGTACCTCGTGCTTGCTCGTGCAAAGTGCGGCAGCCGAGTTGAAAGGCTGGTATCGAAATTACCGTTAACCATGATTATTTGGTCACCGTAGCCATGGCTTGTGTCGGCCGCTTGCAGCTTGGCCCATGGCGTACCTCGCCCCTCGGAATGATCACGAGCGCGGGCAGGCCGCTGTAAGCACGCCGAACGCTGCGGCAGAGGCACTGGTGTTGCCGGTTGAGGCGCACATTATCGCGCGACTACCCTCTTCAAGCGCCTTTGCGATGGCCACAACCATTCCCCGGTCCTTGAAAGAGCCCGTGGGGTTGCAGCCCTCCAGCTTGAAATACAGTTCTGGGCAACCCAACTCCGCTGCCAGTCGGTTGGATTTGACCAAAGGAGTATCGCCCTCTCCCAGGGTGATCATGGGTGTGGCGTCGGTGACAGGCAACAGGTCACGGTAGGTTTTCAGTACGCCAACGCCCATTCCGCCCTCACGAATTCCTTATCAATGACAATGAAGGGTCCTGTTCCGGAGTACGTTATTCCTCGATCCTGAGCATGTTGCCGATGCGGCGTACCGGTTCCAGGTTGCCGATAGACAGCAGGGCCCGCTGAACGAACGATTCCTGCGCCGGGTGGGTCATAATTACGATCTCGGCGCTTTGGGATTCGAGATCGGTGTCTTTCTGCAGCACCGAGGCGATGCTGATACCCTCGTCCCCCAGGGCTCTCGCGATCTGTGCCAGCACCCCGGCTTGATCGGCCACAATCAAGCGAATGTAATACCTCGTAAAAACGCTGCCAATGGATCGCACTGCAGCCTGCTCCTTGAAATGCCTCGGGCCCGCAAGTGAAGTCTCTCGGCTCATCAAGCGCGCAGTTGCGACGAGGTCTCCCAGCACCGCGCTGGTGGTTGGACCGCGCCCCGCACCCATGCCGTGAAACAGAACCCGCCCGGTCAGGCTACCGTGGACCTCAACCGCATTGTACACGCCATTCACGTTGCCAAGCATGTTTTCCGCTGGAACCAGGGCCGGATATACCCGCAGCTGGACCTCGCCATCCTGGATATCCGCAATGGCCAGTGATTTTATGGCAAAGCCGAATTCCTCGGCATAGCGGAAGTCTTGCGGTTCAAGAGCGGAAATTCCCTGCCGATACACATGCTCGGGCCGGAAGCGGCGTCCATAGGCCAATGTCGCCAGCACGGTCAGCTTGTAGGCGGCGTCGATCCCCTCGACGTCATTGGTGGGATCTGACTCGGCGTACCCCAGTCCCTTGGCTTCGGCCAATGCCTCGGCGAAGGGCGCCTTTTGAAGAGCCATCCTGGTCAGGATGAAATTCGTGGTGCCGTTAATGATGCTGCGGATGTGGTAAATATCGTTGGCGGCCAGTTCATTCATCAAGCAGCCGACTATGGGTATTCCACCACCGACACTGGCCTCGAACCGAAGGGTCACTCCGTTGGCCTGAGCTAGTTCCAACAGGTCCACGCCATTTTTGGCCATGACTTCCTTGTTGGCGGTGACCAGGTGCTTGCCCGACTCCAGTGCCCTTCGGAAGTAGTCGGCCGCGGGGTCTGACCCTCCCATAACCTCGACTACGATGTCTATTTCCGGATCGTCCAGTATTTCGCCCGCGTCGGTCGTCAGCAACCCGGGAGGGACCTCTACGTCCCGGGAACGGGACGTGTCACGCACCAGCACCCGCCGCAAATTGACCGCGCGCCCGACACGTTCGGACACCGGTGACGGGTTCTGAAGGAGAGCGTCGGCAACTCCGCCGCCCACGACTCCCAGCCCCATCAGGCCCACGTTGATGCTCGGCGAACTTGTCATTGCCCAATAGCCGGCTGACCAGACTGGCCCGTAACGGGCACACGAGGCGCGGTTACGAATACCTGATTCGCGACCCATTCGTAGAGGTTGCTGTCAAAGTGCATCTTCACAGTTCCGTTGGAGGTGCCTTCCTGCAGTGCCTTGTTCTTCCATTCCTCGGCCTTTTCCAGAGCGAGCTTGACTGACATCCGCTCGTTTAATTCCAGAACTTAGGGCCCGGACCCACAACCAAACCCAAACCACCAAACCACCAAACCAAAACACAAACCACCCAAAAAAACAAAACACAAAACCCACCCCCCCCACAAAAACCCAAAACAAAAACCCCAACAACACCCAAAAACCCAAAACAAACAAAACCCCAACCACCCACCCCCCAAAAACAAAACCACCAAAAAAAACAAACCACCCCGACATTATTTCCGATAAGACCCCGTCCCGGGCGTAAAGGGGGCTGCTCACCTCGCCGGGAGACAGCGCCGCAGCCCCGCGCTCCTCGTCTCCGTACATCAGGCGGTCCAGGTTGGGGAAAGCGCCCTCGGGCACCCAGCCAACGTAGCCGGAGGGATCGGAGTATCCGGCGGAACGATTAACCTCACGGGCTCCGTCTCGAAGGGCTCCACCTCCAATCGCTGTGCCACCTGGTCTGGCAACAGGCCGCTGGAACCGGATTCGCTCGGATCAATAGACAGTCTAATCCAACGGACTTCCACATGAGTCTGCGGGCTCTCAATCTCTTGGCCCATCAACAGGAACAGCCCAAATTCCGTGATTTCCTCCTCGACGATCACCCGGAATTCCGAGTCGGTCAACCCGGTCGCCGTGAGGAATGTCTGGTAATTGTTTCGGAACTCCCGGTCAAGCTGACCTGGGTCAACTTCCTGCCCTTCAGGGACTGTGGGTGTATACCTCCTGCGCAACTCGTTCTCAATTGCCTCGTCGCTGGGATCAATACCGAGCTCCGGAGCTGCTTGCCTCAGGATTTCCACATTGACCAGGTTTTGCAGGTACTCAAAGGGCACCGTACTCAGGTCCACCCGGCCGCCCTCATATCGATTGACGCCCTGCAGCACTCTAATGCGCTGCACCAGGTCACCCATCGTGAATTCGACGTTATTGACGCTGCCCGCCCAAACCCTGGGAGGGCGGAAAAATTCCCAGAAGTATCCGAATATCACAACCCCGAAGACTATCAGGAGCAGAAAGACGCCGATCCCCACGGACCAGAACCGTCGCCGGCGTCGCGTCTCTCCTCAGGGCTGGAAGTTTCCGGTCCGTCGCCCTCTCCTGATCCGGAACCGGATCGCCGCCGCCGGTCGGCACGGCTTCCGGCATTTCCGAAGCGGCCGCTAAGCCTGGCAAGGGCCATGGATCACCCTCAGCGCCCCTTCCAAAGGGCGTGAAACCGTGAGCCGCGGCTCGCAAGCAGAAAGCATGCTGTGCTGCAGCGTTTGGAGCAGACTCCTGACCTGTAAGACGAAAGTGAGGCAAATGTTCAGCGACGTATAGTCGGGAAGGAATGGTGTGCCACAAATGGGATGAGCGCTATATGCCGCGCCCGATGTATCGCTATCCGGAGCGCCCGCTGGTGCTTCGCGCACACACCGGTACGGCGCCGGGGTTCAATCTTCGCCCGGTCCGATACGAACCGGCGAATCTTGTCGATGTCCTTGTAGTCGATGATCTTTATGTGCTCTACGCAGAAGGTGCATACCCTGCGCCTGGGCACGAATCGCCCTCGTGGGCGCCGCCGGGCGTCTCGAAAAAGCCCTCCCTCCCTCCTGGACGGCACCGGTCCTCCGCCGGGGCGTCCCCCCGGGCCGCCTGGTGGACGGCCTCCCTGTTGTCCATAGGCCGGCCTGCTGGTGGATTCTGTTGTCATATTTCTTCGATTCCTTTAGGGCTGAAACTGGCTTTGCGCCGCCCGCTAAAAGGGCAGGTCGTCTGAGTCGTCGTAAGGTGGTGGATCTCCGTCGCCCATGCCGCGGCCTCCGCCATAGCTCTCTCCGCCGCCACCGCCACCGGATTCGTTTTCACCGCGACGGCCCAGCATCTGCATTTCCGAGAGCATAATGTCCAGCGAATACCGTGGCTGACCGTCTCTGTCGGTATAGCTCCGACCTCTCAAGCGCCCCTCAACGTATACCTGCTGGCCTCTGGTCAGGTACTGGTTACAGATCTCTGAAAGCCGGCCAAACGCGCTGACGTTGAACCACTCCGTTTCTTCCCGCTGTTCTCCATCCGCCGTGCGGTAGCGACGGCTTGAAGCCACACTGAACGAAGTAACCGCCTGGCCGCTGGTGTGGTGTATCATTTCGGGTCGCGGCCCAAATTTCGCTTAACGATGGTTGATCTTGTTCACGGCTGATGCCACGCTATTCGACGGCGCTGTTCCGGCTCAGGATCGCCGCTGGCTGTACGGGTTCCTCAGGTGCGGTGCCTCCCCGCAGGCGCTGCACCCTCATCGGCGGCGCTGCGCGGCAACAGGTCTCAGTCTGTCACAGCCCGGTGGAGCTGCGTGCCTCATCTGTGCGCGGCGCTGCGAAACAGGCTCAGCCGTGCCTCTGGCCACAGCTCCGAGGACACACCGGCAGCGCCGGGATCAGCCTCCGTCGTGACCTCCGCCACAGGCTCCGAGGACCCTTCGGGACGCCGGCAATAGCCTCCGTCGTGGCTCGCTGTCTCACGGCGCACCGGGACTCAGGCGCAGTGCGCCTCGCGTCGCGCGCGGCATGGTGCATCACGACGGGGCACCTGGAGCGGCCCCCTGGGGCGACTCCGGCTAGGGGGCCATGCACTGCGAGGGCGGCCGCGGCGGTCGGGTGCGCACGGGTTTGCGCGGCGTGAGACTGACAGTCTTCCTCGGAGAAGGCGTGATGGTCAGCAAGAGAGCGCAGCACGTGCTCATCGAGTTACGGTTATGTTTTCCAGTTCCCTATTGAATGCCCGATCGGGTGTGAACGGTAGGTGGTAATGGCCCTCCAGACCACTGTCTGCCCCTTCTGACCGGGTCTAGGCAAGCGCGGGTTCACCCACGTTCCTCGTGGACATGTCGTTCGCGGTTAGTCGTCGGGTAGGTAGGAATGCAAGCCCTGATCCTCTCCAATCCTGCGACGCCTCGTCGGCGGCTGATCATAGGGCTGAGAACGGACTACAAGCTCGTAATGATGCAAAACGGTTCCCTACTGTCGAAATTCTGGCGAAAAAACCAGTGATTATAGCATCGGCCTCAAACCGCTCAACTAGTCGTCGATGCCGGAACAGGGCAACCTGACGTCAGTTCCTGCACCTCTGCGCCCACCTGGCGTGCAATAATTCCATGTCGCCGATGTTGGTAAGACCGTGCCACCATGGAGCCACTCGCGCCGACTCCGCGGTTTGTGCCAGTCAGCTGCTGGTAAGGACAGGAAGGCCCAGTGCCAGGCGACGAAGGCCGCGTGGTCACGCGGGGCGGACGGGAGGAATCACATGGTATGCGTCTTGTTGCTGATCTATGCCGACGCCCTCAAGGGCCTGCTCGGCCTGCCTGCCGTGATGCCAGAGGGGCGTCACATAATCAACCAGCAGGAGATGCGTTGTCCGTCCCCCCGGAAACCAGCCGCATCCCAGCATCGGAACAGCTGTCGCCAGCACTGGCCAGTTCTCAACCACACTGGTGGCGCAGCTACTGGGCGAGAACTCCGGCTTCGAAGCATGGCCAAAGCAGACCGCCTTGCCGGCGATGGTGTGCATCATCGGCCCACCCTGCATCACCGGAAACACGGCGAAATCAATGTCCTTGCCCAGTTCCTCGGTGCACATGATGAACCCGCCTCGGGGTCCCCGCAGACTCTTCTGAGTCGTGGAGGTAACGATCTGCGCATGGGGGAAGGGCGAAGGATGCGCCCCCCCTGCTATCAATCCGGAAATGTGGGCCATATCAACCATCAGGTACGCGCCCACGCTGTCCGCGATAGCCCGGAAACGAGGGAAGTCGATCACCCGGGGGTAGGCGCTATACCCTGCCACGATGATCTTCGGCTTGTGTTCCTGCGCCAGTCGCTCAACCCCGTCGAAGTCTATAGTCTCCGATTCCCGGTCCACGCCGTAGGAAACGAAATTGTAGAGCTTTCCCGAGAAATTGACCTTCGCGCCGTGGGTGAGATGCCCACCGTGGTCCAACTGCATACCCATTACAGTGTCGCCCGGCTCCAGCAACGCAAAGTACACCGCCATGTTGGCTTGCGCTCCGCTGTGGGGCTGAACGTTTACGTGCTCGGCTCCGAACAGTTCCTTGGCCCTCTCGATGGCCAGGCTCTCGACCACGTCGGCGTGTTCGCAGCCACCGTAGTAACGCCGACCGGGATATCCCTCGGCATACTTGTTGCTTATGACACTGGACCCCGATGCCAATACAGCCTTGCTGGCATAGTTCTCGGAGGCGATGAGTACGATCGACTCCCGTTGCCTGCGGTCTTCACCCTCCAGCGCCGCGGCTATCTGCGGGTCCAATTCGGCTAGTGATGCCATGCGATTCTCCATTGCAAGTATTCTCGTCAGGCCCCTTCTGCAAGAGTCAAAAGGGCTCAAAATTGGTCATTTCCACATTTGATACTGAGTTCCAGTCTAAGCTGGCTCCGGAGAGGGTGTCAACGAAATGCGCCTCCGGAGAGTGGTATCCGGGCCATCCAGGCAGGCGTGATCGCTGGCCATATTTCAGCTCCTGCAGCCACTGCGTAAAAACAGGAATACGCCGATCGTGAAGGGTGCCAGTCCGGTTGTTCAGTTGTCAGGTCTTATCGAACCAGTACATGCGCGGATGGGAGCAAGACGAAAGTCGTTCGCCCCTGGTGCGGGAGGTTGGTTGGCTATTCCAGAGTGGTTGGCAGTGGTTACCACCGCACCAAAATACAACATCTTGACGGGCAAATTAACCCTGATACAATCACTGGACACATCAAATGCGCTTCCTGTCAGGTGGTTCTTTCCCATGGCAACGGTCGCATTTGTGGGTTCAGATGCCCTGTGTCCGGAAACCTGATTCCTGACCTGCCGCCTCTTTAACAGCTAGCAGCACTGCGATCCAATAGCCACAACGCTGGAGAGCAACCTGGGGTATGACTGAATCCTGGCAGCTGCCCAAAGCCTCGAAAGTCCTCGAAGTGCCAATGGATGACGGTGCCACGGTCTATGTCCGGCGGCACGGCAATCCCGACGGACCGCGTCTGCTCTTGAGCCACGGCTGTGGCATGGCCATCGACACTTATCTGCCTTATTGGACACTCCTGTTGGACAGGTTCGACCTGTTTCTGTTCGACCTGAGAAGCCACGGTTGGAACCCTCCAGGTCCCCGGATGGCTCAGAACATCCCTACCTTCGTCAGGGACTGCGAAAGCATCCTGCGGGCCATCGGGCAGAGTTGCGGCGAAAGACCTGTGATCGGTGCCTTCCACTCGCTGTCCGGATTGGTGGCCCTTCTCCACGAAGAGCAGTGGAAAGGATTCCCGCCGGTCTGATGCTCTTTGACGTCCCCATATGCGGGTGGACCCGCCCCGAAGACCTTGTTCGAAATGGGCGAGAAAGGAAAGGAGTGAGCGCAGCCGCCCGTAGGCGTCGCGACCCGTTTCTCAGCAGAGGCGGATTGTCACCGCATGAGGCGAAACGAAACTCTGTTTACCAGCGCCTTCCGGATCCTGTGATGGACCTGATGCGAGACCACTCTCCGCCCGGTTGACAACGGCATGGCATACGACTGTGTGCCCCGCGGAATACGAGACCCAGGTCTAGACTACCTCTTCGGCTGGGCCATGAGGGTCAACCTGAAAACAGGGTTCCTGCCCAGTGAAAGTCGTTGGCGCTGATCACACATTCCGTTTCCTTCATGCCAAGCATGGAACTTTCACAGCTCATTGGCATCGACTACGACTACCTGCCCGACGGGCAACCCATTTCCTCCAGATGGAAGAACCGAAAAGTGCTTTGACTTGACTCTGGAATTCCGATAAACAGCGCCTCCTGCATGTATGAACCCTGACTTCTAACCCAGGGCACTAAATCGCGGTTTGATGACACTGCCCTTCCCAAGCCGCTCAGCACACACCCCTACAGGATGCGGGCGTCTCCCGACATACATTCTCGCCTGCGACTCCGCGGCATCCTCTGTCGACAGCCGGACAGACCCAGCTAGAGTGGACCCGCCCAGAATGGACACAAAATGGAGCGAGGGGAATCACGATTCTTTGCTCTCTGCGGTCAATTCGTAGCGGACGAACGCAGAGAGCGAGAAAAATGTGTGGGGTGAAAAATTGGGACGGAATGGGACCAAAATGGGACACCGCTGAGGCGGATCTCTGTCCCAAAATCCCACGCCCCTCCAACAGCCCCGGAGTATTGCCCACCCAGACGGCGGTGCTGCAAAATATCTACAGCAATGTGAAAAATCCCGCACACTCGCCGGAGGAGGAGCACCACCATGTGCTCCCCTGCCAGTGGCGATGAGTCCACGACCGACTGATAACTGCTGTGATTTTGGCTGAAGGATGTGAGCGCCATTGCCCCTTTCCTCAATAAAAACCATCCTCTGGCACCATCCTCTGCGAAATTTTTTCTCGACTGCTACCCTCTGGTGCCTTGATAGATCGGGGCAATCTGAGATGGGACCAGTATAAAATGGCTAGCGATTTACGATGTGTTGATAGTGCGGCGGGACTGGCCGGTTATGACCGCCGGCATGTATGCCGCACGGCATGGGCCTCCGGACTGGGCATCATTGAGCGAATGATGGGTGGAGCCTCCATATCAATGTGGAGAAGAGGTGGAGACACTTCCCAGGATTTTGAAGGGATCATGGGTTGCCGACCTCGCCGCGATGGACCCAGGAACAGGCGAAATGACCTCGGGGCAGAGTTCGTAATGGGAGAGGTGTCCGGCATTTCTACCAGCGCCGACTATCGCATCCGTCAGCGCGGACTCCGGCGACCTGCAGGCCAAGACGGTCATGTGGCAGCCGGTTCCACGCTGAGGCTGCTCTCGGAATTCCCGGCGAGGACGAATTCACACGGCCGGGGGCGTTTCCCAGTGCGCCCACCTGCGACGGCACCGACTGTACAGCGGCGAGGTCGTGGGTGTGGTCGGCGGCGGCGATTCAGCCCACCGATGAAAGCCTTGGTGCTCGCCCAGTACGAAGACCGGGTCCTGCTGTCCACCGGCGCGACGAGCTTAGGGCCCAGAGGGAGTTTGGTGGACCGGGTCCTGGCCGAGCCAAAGATCGAGGTCGTGTGGAGTACCGCTGTGATTGAGGAAGTCCTCGGAGAAAATGACTTTTGGTTTCCGGTGTCAGTACAACAACATGGCTACCGGTGAGAAGGGAGCGCGAGAGCTGTCGGTCTCTTTGTATACGTCGGGCTGGCACCCACGGAAAACATTGTGGACGGTCGTGTTGGAAACCGACGGTGGCGACCCACATCCCGGTGAACATATCAATGGAACGGCCCTGCCCGGCGTTTACGCGGTCGGAGACAATCCGCCAGCATACCTCATCGCAGTTGGTGTCCGCAGCGCGACGGGCGCAAACCGCAGCCATCGCAGCGTTCGTTATATTTCCGGAAGGTCCTGGGACTAATTATAGAGTCAGGCAACTCGAAGCCGCGCCAGTCGCGGCAATTCACCTCCACGGGAGAAGAAAATGGCCAGCGAATACATGCGACCTCGGTCGACGAGCAGCTACGGAACAGCAAGACCATCGCGGTCGTCGGTCTTCCACAACCCCGACAGGACAGCCACAGAGTCGCCAGCTACCTGCAGAGCCAGGGTTACCGATTATCCGGTCAATCGGTGATCGAAGAGGCCCTTGGGAGAAAAGCTACCACGACCTCAAATCCGTCGCGAATCCACGACATGTGTAGAACGTCTTCCGCCGCTCCGACAAGTATGCCACGTGGTCGAAGAGGCCATCGAGGTGGGCGCGAAATATATCTGGATGCAGGACGGGCGTACGTAATCCAACGATGAATTGCCAAGGCCAAGGCCGAGGGCGGCAGGCATCCCGGTAATAATGGACGACTGCGCCCTCCGCCAGCACCGCCGCCGCTTCAGCCGCGGCTAGCTCCCATCATACCGTTAGCGACCCCCCGAAAGGAAGAGCCGCAGGGATTCTCCCTGCGGCTTCAGACACATCAGTTCTGCGCGGACAGTTTACTCCGTGATCGGGACTTTGATTACCGTACCGTCTTCATGATAAAAATACCCCACCACATTGGAAAATTCTCGTTGAACACATCTATCCAGGGAGGTCCAGTCCAACACGGCTGGCCCAGTTCGGAAAATCACGCCTCTCATAATAACTGCTGGTCGCTCTTGGCTCTTATTCCTATCCGGGAGAACTCCGTAAACTCCATTCACACTATCTCGTGAGCTTCCTGAGCCCCATCTCGTTCTGGGATGGCACCAAGCCGACAGCATTCTCCATTTCAGCGCCTTGGCGCCTCTTCCATGACTATCGCCTGCAGGTCGGGGGGCCAGGCCTTCCCAGATATCTTTGTTCATAACCATGTCGTTGGCGGGCCAGCTGGTCAAGGGGCGGTAAGTAGTCGGCTACCTCATACCAGCGCTTGCAAACCCAGCGTCACCTCCAGTTACGCCAGCCCCAGAATGCCGCGTCCAGGGCGTTGTAGACCTCGGCGAAAGCCACGAACTGGGCGTCGGCACACATACCGATATCCAGTCGGAAATGGAGGTTCCGAAAGGGCGCGGGTTTTTACTCAAAGTCTTTCCGGTGGTCAGTAAAGGCTTCTTGCTGAAGAAGAAGAAGTCGTTCCCCAGGGCCCATTCTTTATGACGAGCTGCCGCCTCCGGTCGATTCCTCCAAGAGCGCCTCAACTTCAGGCGCTATGGCGCCGTTGTGAACTAATGTTGTCTGCCGTTCCGTGAAAACAGACCGAACAAGTATTGGATCTCGAGAGCAGGCACCTGTCCGGCCACATACGGCCCCAAACGAAGGAAAAAAAAACACACACCCCCCCCCACCACCAACCCACACCCCCCCCTCTTCCCTCGTTTCCGGCCGCCAGCACAAAGGTTCGGGATGCCCGGCCCACCCCACCCGCCCCAGCTCGGGTAAGGACACATCACAAAGTCCCCAACACCACCTGAAACCACATTCGTTTAAACGCTCCCCCACGTCGGGAAGTAAAAGTGTCTCGATTACCACTTTGCAGAAAGACAGGTCGCGTTCAGCAATACCGTGCTGGAATGGTAAAGACCTTCCATCCCTCCCGCCAATTGAGTCACGGGTTTCCTCCAACTTCGCCTGTTCGAGGAGGCCCTTGTAATAGTCGGACTACAAAACGTACAGTGTTCTGCAATAATCGCCCAACGTCACTTTTCCGTCACAAGTCCCCACTTGCTCAAGCGTATCGGCGGGGCCCCAACCATATTGGTTGAGATCAACCCACTATAAACAATCCGCCCCGGGACCATTGGCATAACCTCCCCCCCGTCGGCGTACGCCCCTCATTTCTCCTAAACCTGCTGCCGCTCGATAC